TCAAGTCTTGTAAAACGCAAGATGGATTGGCAAGCCATAATCTTTTACTCTCTTGTTTCTCTTTTTATCTTTCTTATTCCTTGCTAATAAGAACGACATAAAATATTTCACATTCACCTAAATGCAATAATCGAATGCATGAAATGGTCACATTTTTGGAGAATTCTTATTTGAGATTCGTCAATTAATGTTCTTGATTATATTTACTGAGCGTTCCATATGATATATATATAATTTATTGACAACAGTATCAAGTAGCATAATTACTCAATCACAAATAATAAACTACCAACAATCTAACCAAGTAGGCTACAAATTTTGTTTAAGGTCAACAATTTACAAGTTAAGAAAACCAATTGATTTGAGGAGATGTATGCATAGTCAAACTAATTCTACACAATTTTACGTAATATTTACACAGTGAAATTAACTCCTTGGTCTTCAATGTTTCAACGGTGGCATTACAAATAGTTCTATTGTGTTACAATGCAATATAGTACAACATAATAAATATTTAAGTTTTCATGTTGGATATTTTGAATCTCTGGTACGTACCTAATTGTTCCCAAGAAAATAATCATAGAAATCTTGATTTACAATTCTTAATTATTGGAGGTTTCTAAAAATGAGCTCTTCAGCTTATAACAAATTCAGGGACCTTCTTAATTAGAGGATATTTGTTTAAATCCTTTTGTTCAAATTACAAAATTTCTTGAAGCTAATATAAACTCCTACTCGTAACTCGTCAAGTCTCGCTTAAATCAGGCATGAATCAAACAAAGGTAATTACTGTCTTATTCAAAATTCATGGGCGGGAATGTAAAATTAAAAGTGATTCTAGAAACTTTACTATCAAGGAATTCTGACAAGTTCTGTTAAACCATGATTTACGATGACATTCTCAAATTCTTTATACAAAGGGTGGAACGATTCCAACAGTCTTTGACTTCTTATTAGGAATTTCTGAGACTTGATTGGTTAAAAAGAGTAACATGATATACTATTCAAGACTTCCGAGCAAACCAACTTTGAAAAGTGCAATTTGGAATCAAGGGCATAAAAGCCAAAAAGAAATGCATAAAACATCTCTTGATTCAAATAGCCTTCTAAAATATGATGATTAAATTACCTAATAAAATCACCAGAAAATTCAATTTTTCATGTTACGCTTTCCTTTGAGTTTTTGATTTCCATTCTTCAAATACATAATTTTTGAGTTACCATCCTCCGCTGAGATCATGCCGACCTCTGCCTTTGAGGAAAAATATATGTTCACCTCAATACAAAACTGCCCTCTTGTGATGAAACTCTGAACAAGCTACTGAGATATCACAAACACGCAAATAGAGTACCGTTCTCTAGGTGGTTTTATGAAACTATGTGCATGTGAACTCAGTTGAAATTCAGATTATTCCTTCAGTAGTATATACCTCTGATGAGTAATCGCTGGTTGACATACAGAAACATTATATTGGCAGAAATGTCACTATAAAATAATATTGGCATTTATCTTCTTAGGATAAATATTCCAACCGTGCATGTCACTTACTTTTTATTAACAAAATTGAAGCAAATTACATAAACGGAGACAGGTATTATTAAAACAACAGCTATACATCTTCTGGTGTTGAAGTCACTAACCCCCCCCCCCCCCCCCCTATGTGTTTATACTCAAATCTAATCCTAGTAATTATCGCTCATTGAAAACAATTAGAAAATTAAAAATAATTTTATCTGAGTCAATATCTGAAATCTACAATGTGATACTGGTATTGATTGGGTTAGCAGTGTGTACAGTATCATTTATGAAACATTATTGTTTGTGCTCATTGAACAACCTGTTCTTTGTTTATTTATATCGGCTATTGATAAAAAACGAGCCTTTGAATTTTTTATGAATTTCTATGGATGTGAGGTAAGCTTTATTGTTGGCTATAGATTTAATAGATATAATATGTTACTCTATTGACACAAATACGTGTGACACAACAGACACCTAGCGCTGTGAGAGACACCCGACCCGGCATCAAATCCGGCATTTTATTTTCAACTTCCTTTTTTCCGTGCCGAAACACTGTGAATATCTAAGATCAAACAGGGAATACAAAGCCGTTTTGTTTTTATTTAGAATGTGCATGAAATGGGAACCATGGACATCAAGGGATAGGGAAAGTATACACTTAGGTTAATTTTGATTTTTACTGACATCAAACGGCTGGTTAGGGTAGCATAAAGGGCAGAGACAAGAGTATTTCAAGAGTCATTAGTCGATATGTCCTTTGATATTATAAGCAGTTTACGTATTTTTCATTTAGCATTATCAGTTACCTGGCTGAATATTGTAGTATTATCTACCTAGAAAATAGAAATGTTTCTTTCAATGAATCGAGGTCAAGATCTCGTTGGCTTTCTCAGCCTGTTGTTGAATTCGTTTTTATTTACATCCTACTAAGCTTAATAAATCATAACTGAATTTTGACACTACTGAACACTATATTAATTGTTTCATTAAATTATTAAGATGAATTTTTGGAATTAAGATTCTTGTTTGCTGAACCATGGAATCTGATTTGTTGTTTTTATATCTAGTATATGAATGAAAAATAAAAATAAAAATGAATTGATGAGCATCCCTTAAAACATAAGCATTACTGAGAAAATCTTGATATACAAATACTATACTAGAAATACCAATATTAATTTCATTGATAAAATTCGAACAGTGTCAAACAAACTTCTTATAGTGACAGCTCCAGTATTTCACTTTTAATCCTAAATGAATCGTTTTATTTACTCAACTTCAAATGACATTGATTTTATTTATCTTTATTATCATGTAACTATATCTGCCAAGAAGAAGCTTGTTTCTTAAATAGACCTCTCTGAAAAAACCTAGATTATATTTAAATCTTTTGAGATGTTTTTATTTTTGACCAGAGGATACCAATGTTAACAAAATATTTTATTAAACTGGAGGATATATGCAACAATTATTTCAAGTTAAAATAAAAATATAAGTACACCATTTAATATGGTTCATTCATTAGAGAAAGAGAAACTTGGTACGTATTCTATGTACTTAGTAACACTAAAACCAATTCTTTTACGATTAAGTATTACGTTGAGGAAATAATCTGAAAGATCACGCCAATTCGATGTCAAAATTGTCAATAATTCTTGATAGAAATATATTTAAGCTTGCGTAGTTCGTGCTGTAAAATTACGATAAATTAAGATGGTTATAACTTTACTTAAAGAAATAATTCTGAGTTCAATAATCTACTACTGTATGAGAAAAGTGATATATCTTTTTTATTATTAAAGCAACGCTAAATACCTATGACATTCAATAGAAATTTCTCAGGGTAAATAGATTTTCTTTAACAAAAGAATGATCACATTGAGGATCCTGTGTCAGGGTATATGTTACCTTTAAGGAAAACATAAAGAAGATTAAAGAAAACAATATATCACATGTCATCAAAGAGTTTATGCCAGAATTGATTATTAACAGAATAATAATTATTTTAAGGTAAAATTTATTATGGCTCTTTCATGTATAATTTTCAACTTGCGTTTAATCTTCGCAGATTTGTATTATCTTAATAGAAAAATATTGGTGAAAAATGCAGTTTAAAAATAAATATGTTTGTCTTTAACATTTTATGTACATTAATCATATCCTCATTGAATAATGAATGATATAATAATAAATTGATCAATGGTCTGATTTATATAATCTAAATCGAATGAATCCCGTCAAAAAAGTTCACGTGACACAAGCTTCTAACCTCCAATGGGGAAACCAGAGAACACTAATCAATAGAATATGGTTCTAATGTTTCAAACAAGCAGAATCGTCAAATATCATCATTGTTTCATATTTCTTGAAAATCTTGGTGACCTTTCTCAAACAATCTATTCATCAATAGTGCGACTGTAATTAATAAGTGTAAATAAATAAATATTAATAAGTAAAAAATAAGAAGCAAAGGTTATGTATTTAAATTGAACCTAGTTCCAGTTTGAATATTTCGTTGAATATTAAGCCCTACTATACCATGTACAAGCTACAAATGTTCAACTTGAGCTGTGTTGACCTAGTATGCACTTTGAGTTTGTTCTTCAACTCAAAGATCAAACGCGGCAAGCTTGAGTATTAACGTGTGGTGTGACATCATGACAAGCCACAAACAATTCTTTTTGTTTTTCATATTTGATGTACATATCTTGACTTTGAAGTGAATATTCAACCGCTTAACAGATATTTTGTCATGTTCCATTTACTTGATCATAATTCACAACTTAAATCTTAAATCTCTTTACACATTTTAAAAATTATATGAATAAGAAAAAGTAAACCTTATACAAAATGTTACTTCTGCCAAGTTTATCTTCCAATGAATTTCATTTGAGCCAAATAAGGATAATTCATAATGATACTTTTACTTTAATCTATTTTAAGTTTTGAACCTTATAATTGTTATTTTGTTAAGGAAATTATTGAGGTAACTATTGAGATATTCCTTGACATTCATCCCTAAAATAATTAATAATATGGATTAAGAATAATATAACAACAAAAACATTATCAAACACACTAATGGTATTGATGGCTGGTGGTACTAAGTTTCCATGAACTTGGTCCCATGTGAATATGTCTAAGTCATCTCTCGGATTTCACATTTCTGACACTGTCGTCATATTTCGCATGCTTTCTAGTGTTACATGTCAAGTCCCATTCGTAACTGGATTTCTCAGCTGAATCTTCCTTTCAACACAGCATCAAGAAATAGACAATACTTGATGCTAAAGGCATCCTTACTTTGCCAAATTTCTCACAATGATTTGAATGAAACATCTAGCTTCCTTGCATTTCTGTACAATTTAGAGTGTCAATTATATGCCTGTTTATACAATACCTTGGAAATTCCACTCCTTTCTCCTCTATTTGCCATATCAAAACATGACCCCCCAACAATTTGTATGAATCAACTCACCTGTTTTTGGATCTATATGTACAGGAGGGATACCCATATGTGCGGGAGGGGGAGTAAAGTGTTCATTGTTATACATCATCAGGGCACCCAGCGCACCTGGAGGCTGTAATAGTGGCATTTTTGAACCCTGAAAATATACAAGAAAAACACATAAAGAAATGCTTAAGAAAACATTACCGAGAAAGCTCTATATATCGAAATAAGCCAAAATTATGAAAGCTTGATGATCTAATTTAATTATGTAAAACAAAAAGGGAATGGTACTTTATGCATATTGTTTCATAAAATAATGAAGTAATGAGCGGTAATTTCATAATTTCCATGTTTTACAAATCAATTTGCACTTTACGAAATATATTTGACAACAACATCTAGAGTTGGTAATTTATGACAAATGTATGGTGGTAAAATATCATCCATCACACTTTGGTATATGAATTGGAGATTAACTTCTAATGATTCAGTCTAATGATAAACGTTGCATGTGTGTATGTATGCGTGTATTTCAGTGGGTCCCCTTGTGTGGAATTGCATTTTTGGAATAAAAATACTACAAAAAGCCTGGGAATGAGAAGGAATTAAAAATTAAGCCAGGCAGTGGATGAATGTGCCAATAAAAAACATGTGATTAAATGACCGACTGACATGTATAGAAAAAATGAAATAAAGAGTCTAATTTAATTGCAATAGCTTTGTGATCCCTACACTAAAACAATCCTGCAATAGAAACCATGGCTCAGCAGACTCAGGAGATAATAACTTTTTTACAATTCTAATTGACACTATTCCCCTTTCAGGGAACCTCTAATTCCCTTAACAAATACCCAATAAATCTAATCAGAGGAAAAGAATAGGGAAACAGTTATTTCAATGTAATTTACATTGTTAGTGGTAATGGCTAAACTTGAAGCCGCATGTTCCAAGACAAAGGATTAACACTATGGCTTGAACCCTCTCAGTTCTCACTAATGAATTGATTACAATTAAATTACTATCAACTTCACATGGTTTTGTGTCCGTGTCTACCTCCTTCAATTTATCCACATGGAATATTTTTTGAACAATTTCATGAATTCTTGATTCTGAACTTTGATGCCATCATTTTGGAATAAAGGCAACTTGAGAACTTGTAAACTTGATGACCTTATTTGGAAATTAATAATAGATGAATTGATGAAATATAACAAACATTAAATTAATACTCAAACTAGGTTTGGACTTTTTATCTTTGGAACATTTACAATACATGAATTGGTATCGCAAAAAATCAGAATGACAGGTCTCATGAGACGAACAAATGTTTTTCGATTGTTTCATGTAAAACACTTTCAAATAAAAGTCTACCTGAATCAGTGCCAAAGATATATCCCATGTACGAATGCAAGTGTTGCCAAGATAATGGGCTCGGCCGGAATGATCCAATATACGCTTCATCAAACTTCAAAGTGGGGCTCTGCCATTACCTATAGTAATTAGACGCCCTATATCCTATATATTAAATATATCACCACCTTATAGATGGATTAATTTGTCACAAGCTTTTAATAATACCTTCTCGTGATTATAGTACTTAACCAAAAATGTCGTCTTTGAGAAATTTCACTTTTTAATAGAAATGCTACGTAGGATTATCTCCTAAAAATACTAGTTAATGATATCTAATGATTATCACTTTGGATTTTAAACCTTTTCAATATAATCTAAATTCAGATTAAAAGCCTTGTCTTTTATATTAATATGTTTAATCAAACAACAGATGTACTACATGAACTTCAAAATTCATCATACGTTTTTCATCAGAAAATATTGTTTTATTCAATTGTAATCATTCTTTGAAACAAATAATCTTTATTCCACTTGAAATCTGTCTGGAGGATCTGACACGTTAATCCTACCCTGAGAAAAACTGCCATTTTATTTATTATTTTCTTGGTAGTTCTATGTATACTCTGAATAAAAGATCAGTGGACTACCTGATTTTTTCATATTTCTACACAATTTAGAATTTTTACAACATGCTTGATAATTTGATTTCTTGCAAATTTCACTCTTTTTCACTCTATTTTGAATTTGAAAACATGATCGCCATGACAATTTTCTGACAAGCAGTGCATTACACATACTAAATCATCAATAGATTTCAAACTACATCTGTGATGATTTTAATTATATTCATTGAAATGTGCTTATCAGAGAATTGAAGCTGACATGCATACAGTCTCATCTGCCTCCCATAAGGAATGGCACGCTGTATCCAATTAATAAAAAATAAAGATACCCACATAAAGAAATACAGCATCTAGAATGCTTTCTTCAATCAACTCCATTAAGAGTTTTCTATTAACAAATTATACCTGCATTGAAATGTATTTTTCAGGTTCAAATTTATTTTCTTTGATTTGAAGACTAGACAACTGTGAAATTCTGTTACAGAGATATAACTTATGAACAAAAAAGTTGATAGTTTGTATGGAGGGTCGGAGTTCCGTACATGAGCCAGTATTATTATGAAACACACAAGGAGGCGTCCCTGTAGAATTGTAGGCTTCTCTTGCTCTAGATTTCCTTTGATGATTTATTCTAGAATTAAAACACACTCTAGATTCAAAGACCCGATAGACCAATGCTATCTGAATTCTTCTGTCACTTAACCACAAAAATTACACCCAGCATTCCATGGATTATAACTATTTTACATATTAACTGGAGAAAATATAAAATAACAGACAGTGGAATGGTTTTATTTTCGATCGTTGATGCGTTTGTCCAGAATTGTTATTACAGGTAGTGTCTGCTTGATTAATTAGGCAACCGGTGCCTACCTGCAGTAGAACATCTACTTTATACCTTTACCATCCCGGGGGACTTAACAGAGACGGGAAAATTTGCGGAACAAATGTTCAAACAAATTGAGGTGTAGAACTAAAATGGGTGGAGGCATGCGATTCTACGATTTATTCACTCCTGTGCTGATCCCGCGGGAGTGATTTGTCGCCAATTACTAAAACCATCAAACAGCATAATAAACGTACTCTGTCTTCAAGGTAAAAATCAGCAAAATTCTGACGATAATCTCCATTTATGAGCAACACTAGGCACTAAATCTTGAAAATAAAAACTCCAGTAAAAAACTTGCAATCAGCGTAAAACTTCAATTACACGCATACTGGATATAGCACCATAATTAAATTCTAATCGTTACATAGGCAGCAATTATGGCTGCCCCAGTACATGCTATCTGACACCTCCTATTAATTCTTTCTACCAGACATACCATCATTAATGACAGATTCACATCAAAAATGCAATAGGTTATGGTGGAAAAAACACCTCCAAGTTAATTAGGACCTTTGATTCAATATTTATGTGTTATATACATACAATAGCACCAACAAATTCGTAGATGAAATATACAGGAAAATCTGTTATGATACATTTATTATGAAAAGTGTAACCAAAGTATGTAATAATCATAATCTATTGAAAATATCATTAAATATCAGTCATGATTAGTCATTTTTAATAATTTAGTTTATGACTCAATACGTTGATTTTATCTAATAATATATTTTACTCGTTTGGTATGTTCAGCAAATGTATTAAGCAATCTACCTTTCTTACTGATTTTAGATTTCAAATTTCTACATTATCTAATATTATTTAATTACAAGGTATTTTAACTATTTTTCAATTTCAATATTCTGATGTGTCAATTGACGATTGACATGTTGCTATGCACGAGAAAAAACAGAATATTGCATGTTTAACTAGAGAAAATCCATCTGAATAAATACACCATATCCCGTTTCATAAGAAAATGAGCCTCACTAAATAGCATAGACTCCATAATGTATCAGTTTTCTCTATTGACATACAACATATTAAAGCTATTTTCTTCTTATAATGCATACTTTAATTAAATATCTCCTGTCACAATGGCATGTTCTAATTTAGCTAATTCCTCTGTAATTCAATGACTGCCGGAAGATTGAAGCTTGAGTATAAAATGGATGCTGAATGAACGTAAGCTCTCACATATGGCGGGTGTCAAGACTCTCTCCACTTCATGTATGCGATACCCACTTCACAAAAACACCCGAGGAAATCTCATTTTATAAGTTTTATTGTCTAAATCTGCCGTGTTTCAATATGCAGTAAAACACTGATAAAAAAAATTAGAAAAATGATATTATGACAACATTTCAAAGTAAAGAATCACTCTCAATTGCTTATTTCATCGATATAAGACCGAAATGGAATGACAAAGTTTTCTAAGTGAATGCCTCTCAAAAGAACACTCTTTTCAAGATACTACAGATTTTTCAACAAAAAAACATCAACCTTTATGAAGAGACATCCAAGATACAGACCAAACTTGAAGCCACTTAGTTTATTATTTTCTAAGAACTAAAAAAGATTGTCATTTTGTTATATGATACAATAGTAGATATAATCTTACAAGGTACACATATAATGAATGCCGCTCCATCGACTGAATTAATATGTCAGTATACTTTTGCCATATCTTAACCAATATACTATCTACTATAGTTATGACATCAAAAGAGTGTCACATGTGACATCAAATGACATCACTCTTTTTAATATTGTGCAATAATTGGTTTGACTTCAATCACACGAGGATGTGGTTTTAAATGCAACTATTGTTTTCTATTGTAACTGTTTAATAAAAATAATAATAAAAATCATAAATTTTCTATCAAACCTATTAGAGAATGGCCTGCTTATTCTAATTACCCTTAAAAACAGAACCTAAACCATTAATAAAATACTATTAAATTAACCTCTAGCCCTTTATCAGGCCATTGATGATCTCTAGATGACATCAGACTGCCATCATAAATGACAATCTTCAAAAGATAAACAATGAAAAATGTTTTTTTTTCTAAAAGGTTTCTAAAGCTTCCTGATGGATTCCAGGTACTTCAAAAGCGATGGTCATTTAGACACATTGTTCTGCCAGATGGGTTCACTGGTTTATTACTTTTGCAAAACAATATAGTACAAAACAAATTAAAAGACAATTGTAAAGGTACAAATGTACAAATGGGAATCTTCATTGACTCACTAGATCATTTGGATGAATTGATTTCAAAATAAAAAATT